TACAGTGCCCCCAAAAAGTAGTCGTAGTCATATAAATGTATACATTTCACTGTATTATTTTCTTTTTTCTTTTCTTTTTTATATTTTTAATTTAATTAAACTTTATTCAAAAGTGCACTTTACAGACAGCGTCCAGTTGCATAAAATGCTTCAACTAGTCTTACAACTTTTTTCTACAAACTTTTTTCTTTAAGACTGGTCATAACTATTTAAAGTCAGTTACATTAAAACATAGATTTGTCTAATTTAAATTACAAAGACAAAAGTATTTTGGATTGTGGATCATGTTCATAGTTAATGTCATGATCTACAGCCATGATTACTCTCTATGTAAACTTGAGGAGAACCAACTTCACACTTCCATTAAAAATCATCTTGACCAGTAGCTTAAAAGTCGTTGCAAACATGTTTCAGAAAAGTTAAGGTAGTTGTAAGAAACAAATCGACCAAAATTGATTTGCAAATGGTGGTTTGTTATATGCATAACATTTAGTCACTTTAAGTGTGACTATAGGTTCAAATAAATTTGGGGTCACTGTACAGAATCAGTATTTACTATCATTTAGCCAGATTTATATAAAGATGTCTTGCAAAACTAGTCTCCTTTTTGTATTCAGCACCTCACAAGCAGCCAGCGCACAATGTTTGCTTTCCTGAGTTGTAACTGTGGGGTTTCTGCTTTCAAACGGTTGGAGAAGATGAAGATGTAAACAACTAATCAGACTACAGGCTACAAAATATTGTCTGACATCAAGTATGCTACTGCCCTCGAGTAACAGCCCATGGAGTCACTAAAAAAAGGAAAAAGCTGACAAGTGTGGACTTTACTGAAAAGCCTTTGGAGTGTGATTTTGATTTAATGTGGCTAAGCACTGTTTTTGTTCACCCACGAAGCCTCCTTCATTTTGCTAATTGATTACTGAAGCCTGGCTACTGTCAGCTCCTGTTCTCTCACTAGGGCTGATGCTAATCCCTCAGTACTAAAGCCCTCACACGAACTCACGACCAATCAGTCGACCACCACACAGATAGTAGAGCCAGTGTAGTGTTCAAACTCATAATTTGAGTATTTCAACACTTTACAAAGAAAGAAGTTTTGATTTAAAATGAGCAACAAATTGTTAGCATGTTGGCTAATCACTTTGTTTACATGTCTTTAGTGGGGTTTACAATTTCTTTGTAGTGTCAGTGAGTCTGTTTGAGTGAAGAAGTGGTAGATTTTTCACTGTGGTCGAGTTTCTGAAACTCACCACTAGGGAGAGCTGGATGATCACTGTTTGCAAAATCACATGTCCAAGTCCTGACACATGTAGTTAGTTAGACTGTTAAAAGGGTTAAAATTGTATTCCATTTACAGAATGCTCACAAAATGTGATTTTATAATCAGTAGTTATTATTTTCTCAAAATTGTTTTGTATATTTGTTTTATTATTGAAAATCGCAATGCCTAAGTACCACAATACTGTAAGTGCTCCGAGAAGTTGAATAATGCAATAATTGACTATTAGACTATATTTGTTTCTGTATAATACTGGCTTTTTCAGTAAGAGAAACATAATGGAAATAAGGTGTCTAGCCTATAATTTGTGTCTAGCTCTTAATTCAGGCTCTGGCATTTAGAGGAGTGTACTGTCTAATTGCTCTATTAGGCATAATGCCCTTGAGTGGAGGCCATGGCTGCTAATTGAGACTTTTCAATAGACAAGAAATCCACAGTATTGCACAACTGATGGCTTTTGACAATAAACCAATTATGAATGTTGCTGGGGTACAGAAAAGGGAGTAGTGTAGTCGGTTGGATGGGAACACCATCTCTCCTGCTTAACCTTTGGGCCTCAAAGATCTCCTGAACCTAAAATAACAGGCTAACATTTTGGGCTCCTTTTTGTTTACACGAGACTCTATAGCAAGTTGATCCTCTGTCTTTCTTATTTTTTACCTTTACACTCTAAAAACTCTTATTTTCAGTTTACTGTAAGAGTTATACTTTAAAGCACCTACACACAGCAGGAAGTCAAGTGCTTACGGGGATGAACAGGAATGTATAGAGACATCTGACTGGTAAATGAAGCAGCATATATTCAGTGGATTTAAAGGCGAAAGGGCATTAACAGCAAGTAACGAGTTTTGAATAAGATGTTTTTTTAAAAACATCTTCTGGTTTGACAGATTGAATGCAATATTAGCAGGAGAGTTATTTTTAGTGGGAATGTCCTTTTTGGTCCTTCTGTTCTATGTGAAGACACTGTCTTTCTTCTCCCAATAACCCTGTTGTAAATTAAACCCTAAACAATCTGCAACAATCATACTCAAGCACACACTGTCACCCTATGGATCAGAACAGACTCTCTTTGTCAGTGTATTGATGATCACTGAGCTGTGGAGTCTTGGCTGATGAATTTGGCTCAGTATTTCCATGCCCCGATTTTTCCCTCTGCTTGCAGAACACAAACTCCTAGTTTTCCCATGTTCCTGGACATGGAGGCCATCCAGAATATAATCGGCCCTCTGAGAGTTTTCTGATAACTCCATAATGTAGGGTAATGTTTTGAAAATACATTACTGTTTAAAACTTTGGGGTCATTTGGGGATTATTGTTATTGTTTGTTTTATTGTTGTGTTTTGAAAGAAATTATAAGGTTTTTTTTCAGCAAAGATGCATTAAATTGATCAAAATTGACATTAAAGCCATTTATGGTGTTGCAAACAGTGTTGGGGGTAATGCATTACAAGTAATGTGAGTTACATAATTACTTTTTTCAACTAGTAAAGTAACGCATTACTTTTAAGTTACAGGAAAATATCTGAGTTACTTTTTCAAATAAGTAACCATTTATTGACTGACAGCTCTCCTGTTCCCACACTGAGATAAATCAGGAGTAAGTGCAGAGGTGTTGTATGTGCTGTGCAAACATTGTTACTGTAGTTCTACAATAATTGTGAATATGCATTTACTCATCACTCGCACAAAAACAGATTCAATACTTCTTAAAATTAAAAAAACTGTGAAAAGCAAATCTGAATATTATGCAAATCTAACATTAAATGTTAACACAAAAATCCTTTATGTATTTAATCCCATTTTATTAACCTTTGCTGTCTTTGCTGCTGACCTTCAATGATCCAATTCAAGCATACTAATAAGGAAAAATGACTTTAGATAAACATAACATTTGTGTTTTTTGTTTTATTTATTTGTGATTGAGAAGAAAATGTTGAACGTTCTTCTCTTGCATCCTATTCTTCATTCATTCCAGAATGGAAGCACAGCTGAAAGGTTTGTTTGAGCTTTTTGAATTCCTTCAGCCTGAGGCTTATTCATTTCAGGTCAAGCAACCCCAATGTCAGATGAGAAAAAGTAACACATAAGTAACATAAGGCATTACTTTCCATAAAAAGTAACTAACACAATCAGTTACTTTTCTAGGGAGTAACACAATATTGCGATGCATTACTTTTAAAAGTAACTTTGCCCAATACTGATTACAAAAGATATATACAGTGGGTACGGAAAGTATTCAGACCCCCTTAAATTTTTCACTCTTTGTTATATTGCAGCCATTTGCTAAAATCATTTAAGTTAATTTTTTTTCCTCATTAATGTACACACAGCACCCCATATTGACAGAAAAACACAGAATTGTTGACATTTATGCAGATTTATTAAAAAAGAAAAACTGAAATAACACATGGTCCTAAGTATTCAGAGGTCTTATATAGACAGGTGTGTGGCTTTGCTAATCAAGTCCAATCAGTATAATCAAACACAGCTGGACTCAAATGAAGGTGTAGAACCATCTCAAGGATGATCAGAAGAAATGGACAGCACCTGAGTTAAATATATGAGTGTCACAGCAAAGGGTCTGAATACTTAGGACCATGTGATATTTAAGTTTTTCTTTTTTAATAAATCTGCAAAAATGTCAACAATTCTGTGTTTTTCTGTCAATATGGGGTGCTGTGTGTATTAATGAGGAAAAAAAATTAACTTAAATGATTTTAGCAAATGGCTGCAATATAACAAAGAGTGAAAAATTTAAGGGGGTCTGAATACTTTCTGTACCCACTGTACTTCAAATAAATGCTGCTCAGTGAAACTTTCTCTTCATCAAATAATGATGAAAAAAATGTCTCATGGTGTCCACAAAAATACTGAGCAGCAACTTTTTAAAAAATTTGATAGTAGTAAGAAATGTTTCTTGAACACCAAATCAGCATATTAAAATGATTTCTGGAGGATCGTATGACTGAAGTAACGTCAGCTGAAAATTCAGCTTTGTCATCATAGGAATGAATTACATTTGAAAATATATTGTAACACAAAGCATTACAATTGAAATAAGATTTCACAATATTACTGTTTTTACAGTATTTCTGATCAATAAATGCAGCCTTGGTGAGCATAAGAGACATTTTTCAAAAACATTACAAAATCTTACTGACCCCAAACTTGCTGATTTGGTGCATTTCTTTATATTATCAATGTAGAAAACACTTGTGCTGCTTAATGTTTTTGTGGAAACTGAGATACTATGTTCAGAATTCTTTGATGTTTAGAACGTTCAAAAGAACAGCATTTATTTGAAATAGAATTTATCTGTAACAACTTTACTGTCACTTTTGATCAATTTAATGCATTCTTGCTAAACAAAAGTTTTCATTTCACCATCACTTTCACATGTTGCATCGCTGCTCTATTATAGTACTTTTCTTATCTGCCTGAACTTGAACCGAATCGCAGTTGCACTGAAAATGCATCCAGCGTCCTTATGCCTTCTTATGGAAATGTGCTGCTCAGTGTGTCTTTACTTTCACTGTATGTCCTTATAAGCTGAAGAAAAACATTTAGCAAGCTTTAAAACTTCATAGCTGCACACTGTTGTAAAATCTTAAATTTTTTTGCAAACAAACCACTTTGCCATGGGCTGAATCTTTGTCAGAGGTGGTAATTGGTGGAGGGGATTTAAGGAGGGGGCCGAGGTGGGGGTCAAAGGCTGTGCATTCTCCCTCTGTGTGTGCTCGACAATCCCATTATGATGGAGTAGAGGATCGGACATTTGGCTGCCCTGCTGAATACCAAAGTCTGCGTGGTGCGTGGGGTACAGAGGGGGTCCGAGGGGGTACAGAGAGGAGACGTGTGGGAGGAGCGATATAGCGTGTTCTGACGGTATTGCAACAGTGGACGACGTACGCTTATCTACCTCGCTCAGCCAAGCAGCATGGCGGCCCCGGTGCTGTCGCTGACCTGTCTGGTGCTCCTGAGTCTGGTCAGTGTCTCCTCTCAGTTCCAGTGGTTCAGGTTTCTATGGGTCCCAGAGACGACCTCATCTGCTCCTGCTGTCACTACACCTGTACCCACCACTACAGCACCAGAGGAGAGCACAGCCCCTGTCTTCCCAGCCTCCCCTCCTCAGCCCACAGAGGGATTCAGCAAAGCCAGAGCTAAGAAACCTCTCAGAATGTGGAAGAGTGGTGAGTGTCGGTCAGAATGATGGATGAGAGAAAGTAGGAAGTTTTGAATCTAAAATAATGTCTGCTGAAAATTCTGCATTGCCATCACAGAAATAAATTACATTTTAAAATACATTGTAAAAGAAAACAGTTATTTTAAATTCAAATAAGATTTCACAATATTGATGTTTTTACTGTATTTCTGATTAAATAAATGCAGTCTTGGTGAGAGACATTTGTTTATAAAAACATTGGAAAATCTTACTGACCTGACACTTTTAAAGTTTCAGTGTCTTGAGTGTTATGATCCTTTCAGAAATCATTCTAATATGCTGATTTGGTGTTGTCAATGTTGAAAACAGTTGTACTGCTGAATGTTTTTGTGGAAACTATACAAACCTCCAGGATTCTTTGGTGAACAGAAAGTTCAAATTAACTGCATTTAATTGAAATATATTTTTTAACAATGTTAAAGTCTTTACTGTCACCTTTGATCAATTTAATGATTCATTGAGGATTTCATAATATACACTTTATTAAAACATTATACTATAAAGTAGCTTTGTAACTACATGTCAACTAACTGTCATTAGAGTATTAGTAGACTATGTTAGGGTTAGAGTTAGGGTTAGTACACTGAAATAAATCTTCAATTTGCACTAAAACATTTTAAGTAAATTTTACTGCTACTGCTCTGTACAATCTTCTTACTATTGACCTTAACATTCATAAAGAAATTAAGTAAATTTTACATAATTATTTATCATTTCAAATATAGAATTTAGTAAAATCTACTTACCTAAGTTAAATAAATTTAGCAAAGAAAATTAGCTTGGCCAGTAAAAGTTTGAGTAATTTGATTTTAACTTTGATTTTACTTAATTTAGCACCTAAATTAACCATGCTTTTAACGTGAATGGGAATCAGGAACATCTAAGAAAATAATACAATAGATATCAAGTACACATTATATATACATAATTAATGCAGCACTCATCCGAACACAGAGACTTCGATACTTGGTGCACAATACACAATGACAGTAACTGTGGTTAATTTTTGAGAATATGAATGTCATTTTGAGTAGAAAATAAACTCTAGATGTAACAAAATCACAAGTTACTAAACCTAACAACAAAAGCAATGATAAAACCGTCTACATACAGCTGGAAAACAGGAAAAAAATCAACCTTAGTTAATTATTCATGCCCCAGTGCATGATGGGAACACCAGTATCAGAAAAGTTGAGTAGGTCTTACTTAAAGGGGTCATAAAATGTGCTAAAAATAACATTATTTTGTGTATTTGGTCTAATGAAATGTGTTTATGCGGTTTAAGGTAAAAAAAACACATTATTTTCCACATACTATACATTATTGTTTCTTCTCTATGCCCCGCCTTTCTGAAACACGTCGATTTTTACAAAGCTCATCGGTCTGAAAGGCAAGGTGTGCTCTGATTGGCCAGCTATCCAGTGCGTTGTGATTGGCCGAATACCTCAAGCGTGTGACGGAAATGTTATGCCCCTTACCATATTGTGATGCCTTGTCCCGACCGGAGCGACGAGACAAAAACATTAAAACCCATTACAAACAAGGCATTTGTTGCATCCAGTGGGGACATAATTACGGATTATAATGACTTATACTGTCTTTTTATGCGTTGCATTGCATCACGCCGCGTAAACATAAAACCATGTCTGCATTTGTGATCGGAGAAATGACAAACAACAAACGCTACTCTACACTGCTCAAAACGCGCGTTTGAATCGTCAGTGGCAAATTCTTTAAATATAAAAACGTACTTACAGTCTGTGAGTCAGAACAGCCGGCATTGTAGTCTACTCTACCAGGATCAGATAAAATTCGCTGGACACATCGGAATATTTGGGTTGAAGTGTTCTGGAACAGTGTTGTAAATACAACTTAACCACTGATTTCTAGTCGTGTCCTCTTTTGGAAGGCCAAACAAAGTAGTTTCGCTTTCACAACGAAACACAGCGTCACACACGGCGGGCTAGAGTGAGCGGAGGCCGG